CCTGGCGTGCTTTGGTCCATGGGGTCAGGAAGAGTCGGACATGACTTAATGACTAAATAACAGTTATCTGTATCCCCACCTGGTTATTGGGTCATGTATACATTTCACAGTCGTATAGATCTAGGACTCATCCAAATGTCTTTTTTGTTTTTCTGAGAGTTTGCAAGGATTAAAACAAGATGGATGTAAATGAAGTACTTTGCATCTCCCAATGCCTGTCAGAAGTGACCAGTCATTATTACTAAGCTTTCTCCCTTGTTTTATTTGCCCTACAGTTGGAGAATCCAACTTGATCCTTAATTTCATGGCCCTACCTCCTTCATTTATATCCCCTCCCCCAATATTAGTCTATTCTTTGATCACAGTAGAATGTAATATTCAGAACTAGCTTTTCCTTAGCTAGACACCCCTTAGATTTTTTTTAAAATAACCTCCTTGTTATCCTCCTCCTTAGAAAAGATTGTTAGTGATTGTGCCTATTGTCCCCTTTCCCCTTTTTTTTAAGACAGTTAATTTGAAAAAGAAGATACCATCAGAATTTTTTATTTTATTTTTGAATTTATTTTTTTTGATTGGAAGAGTGATTGTGAATGTGAAGGCAAAACTCCCATTTTTCTAGCAGTGTACTTTATGGATGATGGCAGCAATGTATTAATTTATTGGTTAGTTAATCACATTGATATACAGTATAGGTGTTTTTTCCATTGAGTTCCAAATGTGAACCCATCCAGTGCACAGATTTTTATTCTCACAACAATCCATGAGGATGGTCAGGTTGTGTGATGGGGACTAATCTCAGGTCATAGAATAACGTTTATGGGCAAGTGGAGATTGGAACTCAGGTCTCTAACTACTATACCACATTGGCCATCATTCAGTAACAGTTGTCTTGCACCTCATTGTTTTGCAGTAGTGGTGGTTCTTTTCCTCCCCACCTTCCCTTCCAGCTCCTAATATCCTGGGGGAGGGGGGTACGGGGGAGCAGACTGTAAGGCTGGTAACCAGGGTTTTTTTTTCAGTTTAGCTGGTGCTCCCCAACTCCACCCTGTGACCAGCACCCTCCAAGAGGATTCTGCCCCATGTCCTTGGGTAACCTCAGTTCCCTGTTGCATTGTTTCCAGGAGGGTCTAATCCCACAAGGAGGTCATTTGAGGACACAGCTGGGCCTCCCTGTCCCTCTTCTCTTCCCCTCCCTCCAATTCTTTCCCCTTCTGGGGAGGCCAGCAGGACTTTGCTGTTTTCATGTTTCCTTTGATGATGATACAGTTCTGGCAATGTGCCAGAGAACTGCAGGTTTCCTTACAGAGCGTTATGCATGTGGCCCACAGTGTGTGTGTGTGTGGCCATGGCGTGTTGAGGAGGGGAGAGAGAGAGAATCTGTGCAGGGATAAAGGGGGCTGTATGTGGGTGGAAAGAGGGAGGGGTCTGCGCCTAACAAATGCTTACTTACCGTACGTCTTCGTAGACCTTGCACGTTGACTCCAGGCAGTGGTATTTTGCACAATGGAGGATTGGGGAAACTTGAGACTGAATTTCTTCCTTACACTGACACAAACACATACACACAAATGTATGCATGAGCTCTCTCTCTCTCTCTCTCTCTCTCTCTCTCTCTCTCTCTCTCTCTCACACACACACACACACACACACACACACACACACACCTTATTTCAAGGACCCTGTTTGTCACTTCTTGTGACCAGCCATGTGCTCCTTTCCCCTTTCCTCTTACGACATTGTGAGACTATTTCTCCGACGGCCCCCAGTATACACTCTATCCTCCTTAGTTGGATTTCTGTTTCCCTTAAGGGAAAAAGTCGCTTTAGTAATATTTGGGGCAGGGGGGGCTCACCTATGCCTGTGTACACAGAAACTGAGGCTCTCCAAGGCTTTAGGTGTGGATCAGGTCTAATTGCAGGCGTATATTGTAGTAAAGGCTTCCTCTATACATGCTCAGAGGATATTGTTTCATTTCTGAAGTGCCAAGGCTGAGAGATCTGGCACTGAAAATTGGTTCTGGAGTAAATCCTTGGCAAAATTGGGCTTGAATTGGAGTTAACAGGTTCTTTACTCCGCTCTGAATTAGCTCTGGGGATGAGACAAGGTTTTTCCATCCTGTTTTGGCCAGTGCTTCTCCCAAAGCAGGTGTGTGGATATTTGCTTGGGTCTGTTCAGATATAGTCAAAATAAATGGTGCTTGCTGCCTATTATGGATGTCTTGCTGCAAGAAAAGAAGAGGGAAGGCTTGAGACACAAACCGGTTGGGGCCACTTAAAACCAGTCTGGCAGCTTCTCAGCTCCCCCTCCTCCCAACCCACTTCCTTCTAGTCTTAGGTGTGTGCGTGTCTGTATGTGTCCTTTCAGACTGTCAATCTCCAGAATGGTAGCTGTAGCACAGCCTGGTGTCAGAGGTCCTTCTGCTGCCACTGGCAGATACAGACCAAGATTGTAACCCATGAATCGGTCAGTTGCACAATGTCCTTATGGAATTAATTGTCGCTTGTGGTAACAGCCATTGGTACAGGCGTTCCCTCTTAAAGGAGGATTGAAAAAGCTCATGGGCAATGGATCAGTCTGTCTTTTAACTAGAATGATTGAATCCAAACTTCCATGTTCCGGAGCAGTCTACCTCTGAATACAAATACGTTGAGATTGTTTCTACCATGCTTTGCTTATAAGTGCCTTACCTTGTTACCTGGCCTGAGCCATGTGTGAGAAAGAATAATGGATTTAGGCAGACCTTTGACCTGCTCTGGAAAGCTAGTTCTGCATCTCATGTGCAAATAGTCCTGAACAGACATATTCAGTTGGCTCAGACGGCTGATCTGGATGTCCCACATTTAGATTACATAGATCACTGGGGCAGCCTTGAGCTTAAATCCCTCCTAAAACCTAAATAAAACAAGAAAAAGCATGTGTGAGAGTCCCCCCTCCCTGGTATTAGTGTAAGAACTGGAAAGAATCAAGAAACATGTATGTATGTATGTATGTATGTATGTATGTATGTATGTATGTATGTATGTATGTATGTATGAATGAATGAATGAATGAATGAATGAATGAATGAATGAATGATGCCTTGGGTCCCCTGCAACTGTGAGAACAAGTAAAACTACAAAAAAACAAACACTTAAAAATTGTATAAATATCAGATTAAAATGATTAAACATATATCAAGATTGGAAACAATGTTAACAAATTTATAAGTCAGTGAACAAAGCATTTCTAGGTAATGGTGGGGGAACCTGTCACCCTGTAGATGTTTATTTCTATTTATGTATTTATTTTAAATATTTTTGCCCTGCCTTTCTCCTTGAAAAGGGCCGAAGGTGACTTACAACAGTGAAAGGCAATATTTGAAGTGGAAAAGGAGTATACTGTGGTGATTAACATCATTAAAAGGCAATATTAAAGCTAAAAACAATAAATATACAATTAAAAAAACCCCAACCAATGCCACTTTGGGAAATGGAAAACATACGTAGTACTAAAAATCCAGTCAAAGCAGTAATGCATAGCAATCCATCTATAAAAAAAAATCACACACATGTAGCTGGTTACTGAGGGAGGGCTTGCCTGAAGAGAAAAGTCTTTGCCTGCTTGTGGAAGGAGACCAGGGATGGGGCCAGCCTGGCCTCCTGCGAAGGGGACTGCAGTTGGATTGCAGTTCCCATCAGCCATATCCAGAAGAGCTGGTGGTGAGGAATGACGAGCGTTATAGTCCAGCAATATCTGGAGGGACTCGAGTTGCCTGATCTAAGTGGAGTCCCAGCCGAAATGTGAGACCACTTGATCTGGATTGCAGTGTATGCCACAGGCAAAAAGCAAGTAAGCCAAGTTGCATCCTCCAGCTTCAGCCAGGAACATTAGCTGTGTGATAATTTTTTAAGAAAGTTTCTTCACCCACCATACGTTATGATTTTAAAAAAAAATCCAAAAGATGGAAGTCCCTTAACATTTCAAAAATACCTTCTGATCCCTCCAGAAAGTAACAAGAAAACACGATTCATTATACAGAAAAAAGTAAATGATATAATCAGTCTTTACTTCCAAAACAGAGAGAGAGATTGGCCCTTGTTATACTTTCATTACTCCTAAAACTAACTCGTAATATGTTACTTCCAAAGTCTGGATTTCAGTAACCCTTAAAAATAACTCTCAAATGGTAGACTGTTGCTGCTATTGCTGCTGTTATTTTTCTTAATATCTGTACATTGTGGAAGAATGATCTGAGGGAGAGAAAGAGAGACAGAGACAGCAACTTGCTAAGGTCACCTGATAACCTTCTAGCAGAGGCAGGATCTGAATCTGGAACTTATTTATGGTATGCGTTCTCTGCCGTACTCTAAACTAGCTGTCAAGGATTAGCAGTCAAGAAATACCGTGCATAAAAGCAAATACAGCATCTTGTAATTGTTGGTTCTTGTTCTTCAAAAATAATTAAATAATGTAGTTCTCCTGGAAAAAAAATGTGGTAAAACTCTTAGAAATGCAGAATGGTGGACACTGCCGTGTGATTAGGCATTACTGAGGGGTGCTATTGTACACATGTTAAGAGGCACTATGAAAAATGTGAGTACTCTGAATATCTGTTTGTTTCTTCTTGGTAGCTGCTGTCCCCAGGTTTATTAGTAGCAAAGCTTTTTCTTCCTCTCTCCTCTTCATCCTGGCTCTAATCCTTGGCCAATTACAGTGCATCTGAGCTACAGCACACATTATGCAAAGTGTGCAGCCATGTGCCAAACTTGTATTTTCATTTGTGTAATTTATACGGTATTTCATGATTTAAAGTCAGGCTTGTGCTGTGGATGGTGCTCTGAATTTTCTCAACTCTAGACTTTAATATCAGTATACTATATAAAGGAGTGTGGTTGAGATTCTGTGCAATATAGTTTATGTTGTTGTTTCATGTTCTGACATAAGAAAAGTGGGAAGAGGTGTGTATAAAAAGTTTGGACAAACGATGAAATGGTTTCCCCTTCTTTTTCTCTTTTAGGGTGTCCTCCTTGTGTTTTTGTTGGAGAATGCTCGCTGTTTGCCAACACTAAAGGAGGCACAATGGGGCTCACCTCCTAATTCTACCGAAGAGCCCTGCCCCTCCTACATCCAAGCCCCACATCTGTCGTGGCGACCGTGGAGTGTTGCCTCTGGGGGCGGAGCCCACCTCGGTCTCTCTTTACTGGGTCTGGATGGAATTGCGGTGAATGGAACAGAAGCCCAGCACGGTGGAGTGCCTGTCGGAGCCAGAGGACACCCGGTAAGGCATTTGGCAGGTGCCAACCTACTGTGCATGAGGGATGTTGGTGTTCCTGTGGCCCCGTGCCTATAGAATTCCTTAATGGCTGTTTCAAAAAGTCCATCTAGATCAGAATTGACCTCACTACAGTTGCTAAGGGGGCACCTCTCTCAGCGAGAACATGACATGGGAGACCTGCAATTAAATGTTGCAGCATCTTCTGTTTAGCAGTGTTTCTGTTTGGGTTCCAGCTAGCTAGTGAGTTGTGCCTTTGCTACATTAAAATATGTGCTGGGATACCATAGTTATCAGTACAAGGAACTCAAGCAGGCCAGTTCATTCTTCCCCTGTCACCATGGTTTTCTGTATGTTGTTTCCCAAATCATAGACAACATAGCTCATAGAGGTGAATAACCATGCTTAACTCTCATAGGCCTGTTGCAGGGGTGGTTGTGAGCTTACTTTTGAATTGCATTTCATTTTTTCTGATTTTTACAAGTTTTTTTTTTTTGCATTCTTCTGTAAACCTTGAGGTGCCTTTAAGCATGCAGACCCCTCTCTCATCATTCTCGGTAGCCCCATTTCCTACATTTCTGATTTTGCTGTTGGAGGGAGTGATATGTAGTTCAGAGGATCACTGAAATGTTAGATTATGTTGTAGAATTCAGTTACTTATTTCTGTATTCACAACATGCAGAACACAGAGCTTTGTATTTGATACCTAGTTCAGCATCTGCTCTTTTTCTTTAAAAAAAAGAAGAAGAAGAAGATGTTAGGCTTGAAATAGAGATACAGCTTTGCCCCTGCTGTTTCCCTTCTATTACTCTTCTCTTACTATTACTCTTCCCATTGGCATATTTTATTGTTGTTTTGTTTTTACATATTGTTGTTCAAAGAATGCCTTCTTGTGAATTGGGCTTTCCAGGTTTGACCAACAGTCTCTTTAATTGCCTTTCCCTAACTAATGTTTGCATTGATGAGATAACTTCTGGCATGCACAAGGAATGACTTCATCAAGGCCTGAACCTAAAGTAACTTTCCAGAAAGGAGGCAACCTGCTATCTCTCTGTGTGGGCCAGTGCTCTGCTCTTACTTCCTGTTAGTCATCCTCCAGTAGGTACTTCTGTCATGTATACCCAACTGTGTAGGGGCATTTTAACTACTTGTAAATTGAGCTATACTGATGGGCATTTTTTGTCTCATGTGCTGTAAAAGTCAAACTTATTTTGGAGTGTAAATGAACTGTATCTTCATTTGGGCTTGTGTCCTTTTTCCTGAATTTAAAAGTGTGCCTCGGGCACCAAATGTCTGGGTAGCACCGCATTGCACATTCCATGGTTTCCTACTTACTGTTCCATGAATAAGCTTCTCTGAATGATAATTTTGAAATGATTATTATTTTACCTGGCATCACCTAAACAAATTAGGAGAATATTTTTTTCATAGGGACTTCTGCTGTCTTGGTGTAGCCTTCTGAACTTGCACACTCCTTTGATTTCGAACTGGATAGGCTATGTGCCAAGCATGTGCTGCCCCATTCGCAGCTGACAACATGTGGCTAGAGATGGCAGAGTGCCCTTACGGGCGTGGGAACAAGGGTATGAGTCAGGATGCAGGGATGCACTGAGTAGGAGGTTGGACTCGATGGCCTTATAGGCCCCTTCCAACTTCATTATTCTATGTGTGAGGTTCTATGTGTGAGGAGGTGCGGACTGGCTTGGACTGACAGGAAATGGACTCATTTAGATAACAGCGTCTTTTACATTTTTAGGGTTGGTGAGTTTCAGACCTAGATCTGGATGTGGAGTGGCAGTCTTGCCTGTTGACTGTGGTTATTCAGGAGTAAATCACTGTGAGTGGTGTTATTAGATAAGGAGCAATCAGAATTATAGGTTTCCACAAAAATCTCTTATTGTCCTGGACCTCCTTTGTAAGTCCTGATTTTCTTCACACCATTGATTGAACACCTCTAGTGTGTCTGGAAGTTAGTTGAGAGTTCTGTAGGGGAAAGGGGGCCAGAAAATGGCAACCTTAGTAGCCTCTGTTGGTTTAGTTGCTCAGATGTTGCAGAGGAGCCAGCTAGCCTAGAGTCAGCTGTCTGAATGTTTATTCGGACTTGAGAGACAGTAAAATTTGAATCCATCAGTCACACTCAACCTTTATGATTCTGTCTGACAAGGAGGTATTAAGTGAAATCTCAGTAAATATATTGTTCCTATTTTACTCCATAGGAGCTACGTAAGTGCAACTTGAGCTCTCTTGTACTAAATAGGACCAGTTTGTCCATCTTGCCTAGAGCTGTCCATTCCAGTTTTGACATTAACTCTCCAAAGAGTGACTCTCCAAAGTAGACAAAGCTTTCTTTATCTTTGCTATCTCAGAATCTTTTTAACTAAAGGCAGGACTGTGGCCTTCTCCATGCACTGAAGGGTTCTACTACTAACCTATAGTCCCTTCTCTAGCTACTCAGCCGTCCTTTGGAACATTTCAGTAAAAAAAACACTTGGATGAAGCTTTTTGCTTAACCTACATGCCTAGTGGTTCAGATAATGGGGTACTTCTAATGGACAGCTCCAGTAGGGTGGGCATGTGGCTGTTTTCTCCCTCCTTATTTTAGCATATAGTCACACTTACCGTGTATAACTGACTAAATACCAGATAGATCACAGTTAGATGTGCACATTTCACTCCATGAGCAGTGGAGATATGGATAGATTATTTTTGGTAGCCTTTAAACTGTACTAGATCTTTCATGTATATATATGACACCATTTATTGAAACCATAAAGTGGTGAGTGCCCATATGTATGTAGACTTGCCTTTGGACAACTTCTTGACATAAAATCTATCTGCTCAGATGAAGAATTGGTGTGTATTGGTGGGATTCAGGGTGTTCCTTACAGTTAATCAAGTGTCCAATCACTTGGGTTTGTCCTCCATTTTGTTTTGCTTTTGGATGGAAGAAGCATTTGATGATGTTTGGCACTGAACATTAATCACTCACTTATAAATAACAGGGATTGCTTCCAAGCAATTGTATAAGGAAATATTGTTGATATGTTTTTCTTTTAGGATGTAAAATGATTTAATATTGGAATGTAGGGCCACACTGGAAAGTAGAGGGATTCACAGAAAAGGTAGTAATTTTTGGTGGTCTTTCTTACAGGGTCAAGAAAATGTTTCAGGTTTTCTGACTTGAGTGGGGAAGCAACACAGCAGTGGCTTTGGGGGAGAAGAGGGATAATGACAAAAACACAGGCTTGATATGCAAAAAGTGCTACACTGAATGTTTAGGGAGTGGTAGCATGTGAAAGAGGTTGCACATGTTAATACATACAGAGGATGCATATGTTAGTTTGCAAGCAAGCACAGAGGTTGCAGTAGTATCAGGACAGATATGCTGACTCGGAGCTGGGTTCTTGGCACAGTGTAAGAGCAACTAAAATCTCAGCTCACACGGCAAAAATTGAGATTCCAAGATCTAGAAGCCACCAGTTCACATTGCTGTATCCTTCAGGTTGTTTTGTTTTCTGTTTGTTTTGCTGTGTTGCCAGTGGGTGCACTGTGCTATAACGACATCTGACATCAAACTTACAGTTTAATGTCTTTATGCATTTCTTCATCCTTGTGCTTGAATTCTGTTTTTATTTCTATGCTACTTTTTTTAAACAAGAAAAACAATTTGGAATGGCAAGAAAGGCACAGCTGAAAGGCGGAGGAACTGGAGAAGGGCTTAGCAAGAGTGTTCTGGCGGTCAGGTGGCGGGTGTTAAGTAGCCTGGCCTGCCTGCTTCTCTCTTAGCCACCATGCCCTGGCTGCCTAGTCCCCCAGACCCAATATCCATGCTTTTCTGCCGCAGATCAGATGTTCTAGTTTTCCTCAGAAGTGTTACATGGCCTGGGATGAGTGGGTGAAAATTATCTGATAAATTTATTAGTTGTACTGTGGTGTTTCTGACGCAAAGAAAAAGGAGGATAACATTAGTAAACATCTATGTGACCAAATGAAAATCACAGCAAAGACAAATGTTTTGTGTGTCATACAAAGAGTAAGAGTGCAGCATGTCACTTAGTCTAGTCTGTTGGGTGTGTGAGGAATAAGGGGCTACTGAGAGTAGCCTATCCCAGCCTGGTGCCCTCTAGATCAGCTGGTCCCCAACCTTTTTGGGACTGCGGACTGGCTGAGCCTCTGAGGAAGGCGGGCCCCCCGCAGGTGCGCTCTCTCTCTCTCTCTCGGGCGCATGCGCGAAACAGTGGGGTGGCCCCTGCCCAGCTGCCGGTGCTGGCGTGAGCACTCCCCCACCCTTTCATGCAGGTGCTCGGGCACTCGGGCGTATGCATGAAGCTCAGTGCTCACACTGACACTGGCATGCCCGCACGTGCGCAAAGCAGTTGTGGAAGTGTGTGCAGGGGTGGGTGGGAGGTCTGCCTTCACAGCCCAGTCCGGCTCAGGCCACGGACCGGCTTCCGGGCTGTGGACCGCGGGTTGACAACTTCTGGTCTAGATGTCTTGGTCTTCGATTTGCATAAACCCACAGGCTTAATGGCTGTTGCATTATGGGAGTTGTAGTCTTATATTTCTGGAGAGTGCCGGATTGAGGAAATTTAAAGTTGTGCAGAGCTTGGGAAAGCTTTGTTGGGCTACCATTCCCCGTATTCCCTAGCCGGCTGGGCTAAATGTTCTGAGAACTGTAGTGCAGACGCATAATTTCTCTGTGCTCTGCATGAGATACAGAAGAGTCTGATGTGTATAAAGCAGCCTGTAGTGTTCAGTTGTTTACAAATCCACATGTCTGAAGGAGTAGAATTTGGTCCTCAAAAGCTCACACTGACATGGATTTGTTCTATAACGTTTTGGCCTTTACTTTCTCTCTCTCTCTTGTTTTCCCCATCCCCCACCCCTGGCTTAATTTTTTTCCTCATACTCTCCCTACTTAGACTTCTTGGAGATTCAGAGTTAATTTGTATCATTCAATATATATTGCATGGGCATTCCTTGGCATAAAACTGTGTGTATTTGTG